TGAACCTGTGGGCTCAGGCAATCCTCTTACCTCAGCCTCCCAAAGTGCTGGGATTATAGGAATGAGCCACTGCGCCTGGCCTTATGGTGGTTTGTTATTCAGCAATAGTTAACTGGAACAAACACACATGGACACTCATGTCCATTGGTCTCTTCTGTCTTGTATTAGGAATCAGTTATCATTTCTGCCACAGTCCATCCTGGTGCACCCAGATATCTGTGAGAGCCATCATAGGTATTGCCACTAGCTTACCGGGGGATGGACCTCTGAATTCCTGGGGCAATGGCCTTTCAAAGCACTCCACTCAGGTATAGGAGAGAGAGGGTAGATGTCAGTAGTGCTGGCCTTGGACTTAGATTTTCTTTTTTTTTTTTTTTGGTCAGAATCTCACTCTGACCCCCCAGGCTGGAGTGCAGTGGCGCACTCACGGCCACCGCACCCTCGACCTGCTGGTCTTAGGCTATCCTTCTGCCTCAGCCTTCCAAGTAACTGGAACTACAGGCATGCACCAAGACGGCTAATTTTTTGATTTATTGTAGAGAAAAGGTTTTGCCAAGTTGCCCAGGTTGGTCTCGAACCCATAGGCTTAGGTAATCCTCTCATCTCGGCTTCCCAAAGTGCTGGAATTATAGGTGCAGGACTTGAATTTTCTAGGAATCAGGAGAAGGATATAAGGTATAAAAGGGTGAAGGTGCTCATCCATGCTAGTCAAGAGAGGAAGTGAAGCTAAGCAGGAGCAGACGAATTTAGAAGATGAAAGGAAGGACCCGATGCCAGAGGACCATGATGAAAAACTGTGGAGAGAGAGGGTGTAGGTGACCATGTGGGCACTGGAAGGGTAGGAAAATGAGGTCAAAGAGTGGAAAAGGATTACAGGAGGAAACATTTTCTAGGAAATACATGGAAATAGAGTGTTCTCAATGCTAGCCCCTTTCAGGAATCCCACTGACCTGGCACAACAGGGCTCCCACTTAGGGCCTAAACTGAAACAATTCTGGTTCTCAGCGCTCGCCCAAGAGCCCCTCCCTTTCTGTGTCCCATTCTTGTTAACTAGAGATTCTTCTTCCCTTCCATCTCTTCCTTAGGTTCTCTCCCCTTTGCTAATAACTCTATCTGGATGACATTCTCATTGGTGAGGGTGTATGAGGGACCAGATGGTAATACACAGCATCTAGGCTCCCACCCTCTTCTCTACTCCATTCTGGAGTGGAGCCTGAGACAAGGACATGGTCCTGGAAAGTGATCCCATAGAACAAGGTTGTAGAACTTGGAGAGGGATGCAGGGAAAGGAAAAACTGATGCAAGGGTGCGTTTTAGAGATCATTGCTGTGGGCATTGGGGGCTTGATTACATTTCTGAGAGTTGTACAGAATCCCCCCCCCCCACAATGGTTCATCTGAATAATGAGAGGCTGGTGCATATATCTGCAGCTCATATCCCAGTAGCTGAGAGTTGCCCCTAGAGGCATTAACTGCATCCTATCCCTGCACTTGTACTTCTGGCCATGCTTGTGTAAAGGCCAAGTGGATTTTCTCTGGAGCAGAAAAGCCCTGGGGCAGAAAGCAAAAGAAATTTGCAAAGAAGAGACGTAATGGTAAATAAGCATATGGGGGTAAGCCAGGCTCCATGGCTCAGCCTGTAATACTGCACCTTGGGAGGCTGAGGTGAGTGGATTGCCTGAGCCCGCGGGTTCGAGACCTGCCTAGGCAACTTGGTGAGACCTCATCTCTACAATAAATAAAAAATTAGCCGGGCATGGTAATGCGCGCCTGTAATTCCAGCTACTTGGAAGGCTGGGGTGGAAGGATCGCTGGAGCCCAGCAGGTCGAGGCTACAGTGGCCAGGAGCAGCCACTGCACTCCAGTCTGGACCACGGAGTGAGACTCCAACTCAAAAAATAAAAATAAAAAAAAAATATCTCCAAAAGTGACTCTTTGTTCAGTGCTGAAACTTTATACTTGTTGATTAGCAGCTTCTTACTGCTCCCTCTCACTGTCCCCTGGATACCACTCTTCTACTCTCTGCTGCTTATAAGTTGGACTACTAATGTAAGTGGAATCATGTCAGATTTATTTTTCTGTGACTGGTTTATTTCAATTAGCACAATGTCCTCAAACTTTATCCAAGTTGTTACATATTGTGGAATTTCCTTCTTTTTAAAGACTGAATAATATTCCATTGTGTGTATATATCATCTTTTTCTTATCCATTCATTCATTGATGGACGTTTAAATTAATTTTTTCACATCTTGTCTGCTGTGCCCAGTGCTACAGTGAACACAGGAGTGCTAATATCTCTTTGAAATCCTAATTCTTTTAGAGAACCTCTGAAATGAAATTTGCCTTATCATATGATAGTTCTATTTTCGATTTGCATTCCCACCAACAGTATATCAGGGTTCCGATGTCTTCACATCCTCACCAACACTTGTTGTTTTGATAATAGCTATCCTAACCAGTGTGAGGTGATATTCTCTATATTTTATTTTTGAGTTGGGGTCTCACTCTGTCACCCAGGCTGGAGTGCAGTGGCATGATCACTGCTCATCAAAACGTTGAACTCCTGGGCTCAAGTGATCTAGCCTCAGCCTCCTAAGTAGCTGGGACGATAGGCATGTGCCACCATGCCTGGCTAATTTTTTATTTTGTAGAAATGAAGTCTCACTATGTTATCTAGGCTGGTCTTAAACACTTTGACTCAATCAGTCTCCCTTCCTTGGCCTCCCAAAGTACTAGAATTATAAGTGTGAGGTGCCATGCCCGGCTTGGTGATATTTTGATTTGCATTTCACTGATTATTAGTGACTGGAATATCTTTTTATGTACCTGTTGTCCATCTGTATAAAACATACAAATACAATGAATACAATTGTGTATTCATGTCATTGGTCCATTTTTTCATCAGGTTGCTAGTTTCATGTTTGTTCTTGTTTTTGAGTTATGGGAGTTTCTTATATATTTTGGAAGATAACTCTTGACCTGAAATGTTGTGTGCAAGTCCTTTCTCCTATTCCAAAGGTTGCCTTTTCACTGTGTTGATTGTTTTATTTTCTGTGCTAATAATACAATGTGATATAATCCCACTGGCCTGATTTTGCTTCTATTGCCTGTAATTTGGGTGTCATATCCGTGAAATCATTGTCAAATTCAGTGTTAAGAAGATTTTTGCCTATGTTTTCTTCTAGGTGTTTTATAATTTCAGGTTTTACATTTAAGTTTTCAATCCACTTTGGAGCTGATTTTTGTGCATGGTGAGAGATAAGGGTCCAATTTCATCCTTTTGCATATGGATGATATTCAGTCTCTACAATATTGATAATGTTTTTCCATTATATTCTTGGCACTATTTTCAATGATCAGTTGACCATATATGTATGGATTTATTTCTGGGCATTCCATTCTTATTCACTGTTCTATATTTCTGTCTTTATGCCAGTACCATATTATTTTTAATTACTGTAGCCTTGTAATATGTTTTGAAATCAGCAAGTGTAATACCTCTAACTTGTTTTACTTTGTCAGAATTGCTTTGGTTAATAATGGTCTTTTCTGGTTGCATATAAATTTTAGGGGTTTTTTTTCTATTTCTTTAAAAACAATGCCAGTGTAACCTTGATAGTAATTGTGTTGATTCTCTGCATAGCTTTGGGTAGTATGAACATTGTAAGAATATTAAATATCAAATTTTCCAATTAAAAAAAAAAAAGCATATGGGGGGGAAATACTCAACATCATCAATCATTAAGAAAATGCAAATCAAAACCACAATGAGATACCACTTCACACCCACTAAATGACTATTTTAAAAAGACATAATAACAAGTGTTGGAGAGGATGTGGAGAAACTGGAACCCCCATGCATTTCTGATGGGAATGTAAAATGACACAGCTGCTTTGGAAATAATAATTTGGCATTTTCTTAAAAAGTTAAACATAAGCTTGCTATATGACCCAGCAATTACATTCCTAGATATAACATACCCAAGGTAAAGGAAAACTTATGTCCACACAAAGGTTTGTACAAGAATGTTTATTATAGCATTATTCATAATAGACTAAAAAAAGAAACAACCCTTGGCTGAGTGCACTGTCTCACACCTGTAATCTCAGAACTTTGGGAGGCTGAGGCGAGAGGATTACTTGATCCCAGGAGTTCAAGACCTGCCTGGGCAACATAATGAGACCTCATCTCTACAGAAGGAGGAGGTGAAGGAGGAGGGAGAGGGGGAGGGGAAAGAGGAGGAGGGGGAGGAGGAGAAGAAGAAAAGAAAAAGAAAAAGAAACAACCCAAGTGTCCATCAACTGGTAAATGATTGGGAAAAAGTGTGGAATATTTATATAATGGATTACAGTTTAACAATAAAAGGGAACAAGCTACTGATACTAATACATGCTATTATAGGGACAAACCTAAAAATCATGCTAATTGAAAGAAGCCAAACATTTACATGAAATGTCCAGAGAAGGCAAATCTATTGAGATTGCAGTTTAGTGGTTGCCTGGGCCTAGAAGTGGAAAGGATTGATTGTAAATGGATGTGATATGGTGGACATGTTTTAAAACTGGATGATGGTGATGTTTATGCAACTTTATTTTCTATAAAAGTCACTGAAGTGTAAACTTAAAATGGGTGAATTTCACTGTATGTAAATTATACCTCATAAAGCTGTTGTATAAAGGAGGAGGAGGAGCAGGCATCAGTCCACACGCATAGGACTTTCCCCAAACCTGCGCTGAAATCACATTGGGTTGAGGGGTATGAACAGGGACACTAGACTCTATATTCATCCCCATCCTGTTACAGATGAGGAGACTGAGGCTCAGATATGGGAAGTGTCCAAGTTCACCAGTCATCATGAATGCCTTGGTGAATCTATGGTGGATTCACAGAGGTCCCCAGGTTACAAAGGCCTTGTACTGGTCCAGGCCAGGGCTCAGGATCACCCTTCCTCCCTTTCCCCACAGTGCCTTTAGAATGAAGACTCTACACACGGACTTGCTGCCATTGTCACTTTATTCAGGACATGCTAATGCCAGGGCATAGATCCCTAGTCGGGGGCAGGCGGGTGTGCATGGGTGAAGGTCAGTGCCGCTGAGCCCCATGATCACAGAGGGATGGCGGTGGACTCGTCCAGTCGAACCTGTCAGCGCTTTGAGAAATCACCTCCTAGGGGACAAACCAGGGGTAGATGGGCTAGCAAAAGAGGTAGTTTGGTCAGGCCGGCGAGCGCTCAGAGGAGAGAAGGAAAAGCGGCCAGGAAGAAGCCAGAGCAAATGCCAGCCCTTCCACTGCGCTTCACCCAGGCGGCATCCGAGTCCTTCCGTTTCTGTTTCCCTCGCCTGTCACACAGCAGGACCTCAGATTATCATACACCGCGTACTTAATGAGAACAGGCACCTGTCAGGCACGTCACACGCATGCTCTCACCAAGTCCTCCCAACAAGCCTGTAGCGAAGTCAGACCCACTTAAAAGATGAGTTCAGGGAGGCTTAGTAAGGAAAGAGATGAGCTGGATTTAAACGAGGTATAAGCACTCCAGACACCCACGCTTACGCACGATTGGAGAAGAATGTGGGGAGGGACGTCTCGGGCCGGAAGGACTCAAAGAAAGGATGGGGCGAGGAGCTACGTGTGTGTTGAGTCGGGCTCAAAACACCGGGTCCTCGCCCAGACCCCGCCCTC